TTTATCATCTAATAATCTAATAGTATAATCTATAAATTAATAAATGCAAATTGAGATTAAAAATTGATCTTGAAAATCAACAAGATTTTGATGATTATTATCCTTGTGGTCGTACATGTAGACTTATAATCATGCACTAATCAAAGTAACTAAATAATATTTTTCAAGTGTCCTCCGATCCAGTGGAAGATGTAGTCAACTTTATTAGGTCTTATGAAGAGCGTTATGGTAACATTCATCCAGTATTTTATCAGGGCTCCTATAGCCAAGCTCTTTCGGACGCGAAACAAGAATTAAGATTTCTATTGGTATATCTTCATAAGGATGAGATGCAGGAAGTTGACCAATGGTGCAGGTAATCTTACAATCATTTTTTCCTAACAAATAGCATAAATTCAAAATATATAATGAAAAATATGATGAGAAATTTATTTTCAGAAATACATTATGCGATCCAGAAGTAATACGATATATAAATACACATACTTTGTTCTGGGCATGTAACGTAAAATCCGGAGAGGGTTATAAAGTCGCAGAAGCGCTCAAATCAGGTTCATATCCTTTTCTAGCGCTTATCGTGCTGAAGGACAATAGAATGACAATAGTCGGTCGGTATGTAAGACTTATCTAATCTCTCTAATCTTTCTGTACTTTGAAATAGATTCTTGTGTATCTTTCTGATATTCGCAATTTAATTAATAAATTTAATTTTTTTTCCTTTTACAGATTGGAAGGTGCACCATCTTCCGCAGATTTAACGTCGCGATTGCAAACAATCATAGAGCGTAATGAAATTAATTTGATCCAAGCACGTCGAGAAAGGTAATTGGAATTATTTATATGATTATCAATCCAAAAAAAAATATACTAAAAATAAATTTTAGAGTAATCAGAATTTGTGTTATCTTTTGATAATCTATTGACGTATGAAAAATGAATGTTGTTTATTACATTTTTAAATGGATATTTTTCAGAGCAGAGCGTAGCGCGGCGCAATCACTTCGGCAACAACAGGATCGCGCTTACGAGGAATCGTTACGTGCAGATCAGGAGAAGGATCGCAGAAGAGAGGAAGAGCGAAGAGCGCGTGAAGAACAAGAAGCTCGAAAAAAGGAAGAACTGAACGCGCAAGAAATGGAGATCCAACGTATACGTCTTGAAAAAGAACTAACTGTTAGCAAAGTGCCCCTCGAACCAGCACCATCTAATCCCAATGCGTGTCATCTTCAAATTAAACTTGGAGAGAGAACGATGAAAAGAAGATTTCTTATGACTGATACGGTCGAGGTAATTATGATAAATGCAATAATCGTGAAATATTCTTTTTAATATATAAGATAAAAGATTTGCAAAAACTTTCTGTGTCCGATTCATATTTGTTATTAATTCTTAACAAAAGATTATGTGATGAAAATAAGATATTTTTTCTTTTTTAGGATGTTTATCATTGGATATTCAGTCAACCAGATTCTCCAGCAAGTTTCGAGATAACAACGAGCTACCCTAGAAGGGTCCTCTATCCTTGTAGAGACATTTTGACTCTATTGAATGCTGGTTTAACTCACAGAGAGGTTCTTCACGTTAACGATTTGGACGACTAATCGCGATCATTACTTCGATATGGCATTCTGGTATCATTCCATAAGAAAAATGATACTGTTGTAAAAGACATTTATCAAGAAATAACACGAGCTCAGCATATACATACAAAACACATACATACACAAACCACGCATATATATTTGATACATTCTAGTACTTTATGTAAGGTATACCTTACTGAATGAAAAATATGATTACATGAAATATACCAAATGATAGGAATCAAAAAAAGAGAAAAAAAGGTGTGTCTGTACGTACATCTTATTTAAATTAACAAACGATATAAATTACTTCGACCGGCGCGCACTTGCTGAAAAATGCATTTCATATAGTAAAAAAGAGATAATAGATAGGAAACATATTAAAATCCTTTTGTGTAAGAAAATGATCTCGTAAAACAATTGTACATCATAATTTCTTTTATATCTTTTCCGATACTAAACGTACATTGAAGAACGATGGTATAGACGATTTTGGATAAATTTGATGCATCTGAGCACGTTCCTGTAAATTTGTCTATTTGCTTTATGATAAATATACACACTGAATTTATTTAATATTATTAAATATATAAGGAAGGGAAGCAAAGAGCATTTTTTTTTATATATATGCTTATTGTACAATCAGTTTTTTATCAGCAGAAGGCGCATTCAGTATTTTCACGCTCCAGAATAATAAATATCAGAATATGAATAACAAATTACATAAATAATTTTGATTTACAAGAAAACTATGCTATGTGTAACGCGCCTAGTTGTTTGATACGTTTGAGACAAAAAAACATTGTATTTTATCGGTTTAACCGATGTAGTTATAACTATTTATAGAACAGTAACATTGATGTTTCACAATTTTACATAATTGTTTTCTATTATGACCACAATTTTTTTATGCTGCTATATGCACATACACGCATATACGTATATATATTATATATATATAAATAAATGTATGTGTGTGTGTGTGTGTGTATCGTGTGTGTGTGTATATATATATATACACATACACATATACATATATATATATATATATACACACACATACATATACATATATATATATATATACACATCATGAAGGATGTAATATATTTCGGTCCTAATCAAATGTTCTTAATTATACGATTTATTTTTTTGGAATTTTATAATGTACACACAATAACTAAATTATGTACAAATTTATCGTTTCATCATATCATGCAAGTACCTTGATGTATTTACAACAAGCAAACATAAATATAATTACGAGAAATTACAAGTACAGATATTCTGTACTTCATTAGCGATATTTATCTATCTTCAATAAATATTGCTTGTTATTATTGTTAAAGAAAAATATTACATAATTATGTGAAATATTTTTTAATAATTTAAGATACCAATTGATTTATTAATAAAATAAGACCAATACATATCGCGCGTTAACGAGGTACAGAATATTGCTAGGAAGAAAACGTCAGGCCTTTGTTCTATTTCAGATGAGTCTTGGATTTTGGGGAAACCTTTGCCCTCTCCTTGGAGCATTGCGCGCGACTATAAGCACGTAAGGTGTTATACACTTTGTTGTTCAATTTCACATCAAAACCGCCTGTGTCTCCCGTATGAATTCCTGGTGGGAATTGCAATAATCGACAAGCATTTATCCTGGAAGACATTAAGATGTCATGTTTTGTAACAATCTGAGAGTCTTTTCCCATCTTCTTGTATCCACAACGTGGAATTGAGGCATATTCTTTCTCTACGCTCTGAAATATATTGGTATATTTTATAAGTGATGCGATATAAATGAGTTCTCTTGATCCACATATTTGATATATAAAGAATACATAATAATTATAAATGACATATATAGCAACTGTATATATACTTACAACAAAACGATCAATGTCCCTGTTACTGTCATCTATGTTAGGATCAACATTATCGTCATCCTTACTATCATGCACAGAGCTACGATAATTACTATACGAGATGCTCACTGAAATGAGATAAAATAATTTCAAACAATTATACAAATAGAGAATTGACAGGTTTATTATCACCTTTCGAGTCACGATTGACTTTATCCTCTGTACGTTTCAACATCGTGTCATACTCGCGATTAAATTGAGCTTGTAATAGGTGTGCTATGACTTCATCATTGCTAGTATCGCTAGCATCATAAGTGTCTCCTACTTGTACATCCGTTTGGTTTGTATTGTCCTCGTCAAAATATTTCTTCAGTTCCCTAATAATAAGTAGCTTCATATAAAAAGTAGCTTACGAAGAATTATGCAAGATGAATATTTCAATTTCATATTTTGATACTAATTTTCAATCTTAAATGTTTCAAACAATGATATTTTATTTGATAGTATGATAAAAGTTATTTTTCATATACTTCATTAAGGAAATTATCAAATTGTGCAATAGTTATGCGTTCATTGTAAGTAAAAAGCTGAAAATTTTATAAAATTTATTTACGGAGGAACTTCCAATAAAAATAACTGAATACGTGAATATTTACCTCTCCTGGATGCTCGTAGCCAATTGCTCTGTCGTGATATCTAATAGATTGAGAGGATTTTCCAAAGGTTGTATTTTCGCCCATACTTTCGGAGTTGCCATTACTATAATTGTAATCAAAATGAAATTGCAAATTGGAATTGCACGATATTACCACAATATCGCGTGCACGAAAGATGGAGATACGAGTTTCGAGATAACCCCCCCCCCCCTTATTTAAAACATCTCGATATTACGCGATATAAGCAATGTAGCGTCGTTATCCAGAGATATTCTACCACGACAATCTGCGATTTACCGCGCGGATAAAACAGCATCGCATTTCGACTGTAAATATATTACCGACGGCGATATATTTTATTCCTCTGTTTTACTTATATTAATGTCGATCCATAATAGGTGATTTAAGCTTTAATCGTAAGAAATTGACCAATTATACTCGAATATGAAAAGAATAAACAACTATGATTGGTCAGTTAAATTGGTCATTTAAAGATTAAATACTTATTGTGAACCGTCACTTAGGACTCCTTGAAGATTTTAGATTCAGAAATACTATTTTACTGCTCGCTGATAAAAATAA